GGCAATGTTGGAAAACGTTTCGGTCCTGGGATCTTGATAACTTAGTGATGAAGGTCCCGGGACCGAAACGTTTTCTAATAAATATGTCCTAGTGTTTACTCACGTGAATTTTTACACTCGTAAAATCTGACACTTCTCTCACACTTCTACAATTTTCCCCCAACAATTTTTAAAATACCCCCATACAATGCCCAACAACTTTCAGAATTTTCCCCTCTTCAAAACACCTCCCACAGGTTAAAAATTCATGGCCCACGACTCTTCATTGCCCTTCCCAACACTTCTACAATCCCACTTACAATTTCTACAGCGCACGCCCTGGGATCCATGCTCAGTGCTCCGCCCTACAACTAATCTTAGCCCCTTATCAGCAAATAAACTATAAAGACGCAGAAAATAAAACTATAACTACCCAGAAGCAACAACTACGCCAAGAGGCCTGGTCTAGGACCGGGCCGCAGGGGGAGCTAACCCCCTGAACAGGGAGTCAGATCCCGAGAAATAAAAAAATCGAAGTTTAACTGTAATTGCAGTCTGCAGAGCCATTTACAGCTATCCTGTTAGCAGTAATGACTAGGAGGTAACAATGGAAACTTAAGCCCCTCCCCCAATACCACCTCCTTCCCTGAGATAATGTCTGCTGACTACCCACACCAAACAGCATGCAGCAGGAAGCAGAGTGCAGAGAGCAGCAGCAACAGCAGCGCCAGAACAGTTGACCTTGGTATAAGCCTTGATAACAGATACCGACAAATTGGTTTAGAAGGACAAGTGAGCAAACGCCAGGACACATTTATTAGAAACGTTTCGGTCCTGGGACCTTGATCTAATAAATATATGCTAGTGTTGGCTCACGTGTCTTTCTAAACCAGAGGTGACCTCGCACCACTACACAGAGCCGTGTTACGGTAGAGTAACAGTATGTTAAAGGGGTCACCACGGGTGACCTATAGCGGCAATAGTTGTACCGGGCCGAACTAACTTGCATGGCTAGGATTAAATCCAAGATAGCAACGCCTACACACAAGACGCTCTGGACTTTCTTCAAGAGGCACCATGCAACTGTGACGGATGTCTCCTGTTTAATAACAAAAACTTGAGTTTAACTCCAGCAGATGCAAGGCAAGGAAGATTGGGGAAGGGGCAAGAAGACCGAACAGACTGCAGAATTCACTCAAAGAGAAAAACCTAGGGGTGAGCATAGTGCCAAGCATATCGCCAGAGGCACACATCAACTGAATAACCTCTGCAGTCAATGCTCTTTTGGCAAATCTAAAACTAGCATTCAGGAATCTCAACGAAGAGTCATTCATGACCCTTCATACAACATATAAAGAGCCATCTTGGAGTACGCTGCACCCGTATGAAACTCTATACCACATGAATCATGTTTAAAACAATAGAAAAAGTGCTGAGATATGCATCAAAGCTAGTTCCAGGTAAGACGAAATTCTCAGAGGAATCACTAGGTTACAGAGGGACACATTATTTGAAAGGTGGGAAACGGGTACACGGGGACACAACAGTTAAAGACACAGATAATCATAGGGATGTCAGGAAGTACTTCTTCAGTCTCAGGGTGATCAGGAAATGAAATAACCTCGAAGACGCGGAAGCATGCTACCTACATAGTTTTAAAAACAGGTATGACAAAGCCCGCAAGTCTAGGATGGAACGAACCTGGCAAGCGGCAAGCTGAGAGGTAGGGCCAGGAGCTAAGATTCAACCTCTGCAACCACATACAGGTAAGTACATGATACCCTTCTCTCTCTCTTTCTATACTTACACACAATTATCATCGTCTCGTATCAAGCCCATCCTAATAAGCCCACTGGATTCCCAATCTCTGCCCACCAGTGCCCACCTCCACCTACCTTTCAAGGCGCCTCCAGCCCACCTCTACCTATGCTGCTGGCCAACACCCCAGCATCCTCCCCATCACCCACCCTCACGCTGGCTATCCTTACCCCCCCCCAGCAACCACTACCCACACAGGCCGCCTCCACCCACGCTCGCTACCTCCATAACCCACACTGGTTACCCCCCTCCGATACCACCACCCACACTGCCTACCTCCACAGCCCACGCTTGCACACCCTTCCCCACGCCACCTTCACCCACACTGCCTACCATCACAACCCACATTGACAACCTTCACAACCCACACTGCCTACCACCACAACCCTTATTGCCAACCTGCACAACCCACACTGCTTTCCATCACAACCCACAGTGCCTACCTCCACAACCCACAATGCCAACCTTCACAACCCACACTGCCTTCCACCACAACCCACACTGCCTACCATCACAACTCACACTGCCTACCACCACAACCCACACTGCCTACCACCACAGCCCACACTGCCTACCATCACAACCCACATTGCCAACCTTCACAACCCACAATGCCTACCACCATAATCAACACTGCCTACCACCACAACTCACACTGCCTACCACAACCCACACAGCCTACCACCACAACCCACGCTAACTACTCCCACCGACGCGCCAGCAACACTCCCACAAGCTTTTCCACCTACGACCCAGGAACACCCCCATAGCATACCCCCCGGGGCACCCCAGCACCAGGGAGGAACCTGGGGCAGCAGCAGGGATGGTTGTGGTGGTGGTAGTAGTGGTGGTGGTGGTGGTGGTAGTAGTGGTGGTGGTGGTGGTGGTGGGTGGTGGTGGTGGTGGTGGTGGTGGTGGTGGTGGTGGTGGTGGTGGTAGTAGTGGTGGTGGTGGTAGTAGTAGTGGTGGTGATGGTGGCAGAGGTGGTGGTAGGAGTGCGTCAACAGCGTTTCTCAGGTCAGTTATTGTTTGGGCGTCGTAGTGAGTGGTGGTGTGTTGCTGGTGCTCCTACCCGCTCCTCACTGGGACTCCCAGCTCCTCCCCATCCATCCCCTCACCAGCCACCCCACACTTCAAAACCTCGTAACATGATCTGAAATATGAAGTGAAAATCATACAGTGACGCAACAAAGTATTTAATCGCACAAAAAAATCTATAGGGGATTACAGTCGAATTGATAAATCCTGCTGGAGTAACGCTAAGGGTGGTTTCAGGAAGGACTCCTCCAGGGAGTGGATCGCTAAAGGACCTGCAGCAGCAGCAACTACACAGGGATAATGTGGGCTGGTGTAGAACGCTTCACTCTCAGGTAGGTACTGCTGCAGCCACGCCTCCACCACGTGTATCCTCACTGCTGTGATCACAACAAATGTTTATTGCAATGGCGATGGTGCACAGGTCTTATTTTTTGTTTTATATGAAAAAATGATCAATCTCTCTCCAGCAGCTGAAGCAGTAGCTTGTATATATATATATATATATATATATATATATATATATATATATATATATATATATATATATATATATTATATATATATATATATATTATATGGGTAGAACAAGCCACATGGGGATGGAAACCTTAAACTTAGGATCTTTCACACTTTCGTGCGTCGTCAGGATCTGTGATATGGTCTGCTTTGCCTCAGAGGATTTCCCCTCCTACCTGTTGTTGTCATGCAACACTGCATAGCTCCCGACGACGCACGAGAGTGCGAAAGATCCAGAGCTTAATAGTTCCATCCCCATGTGGCTTGTTCTGCATTGTTAAGATCGCCTGTGGCAGGGGAAGTGGAATATTCAAATGGCTTCAGGAAGAAATCCAAATATTCTTCCTCGAAGCCTTTTTATCCATTTTTCCGAGGCTATGGGTTCCACAATTGGCACTAATATATATATATATATATATATATATATATATATATATATATATATATATTATATATAATATATATATATATACATATGTGTGTGTGTGTGTGTGTGTGTGTGTGTGTTTACAGTGAAACACATAAGTGAACAGTATTTAGATAAGGCTAAAGAGGTCCTTGTGGCATTTATGGATTTGGAAAAGGCGTATGACAGGGTGGATAGGGGGGCAATGTGGCAGATGTTGCAGGTGTATGGTGTAGGAGGTAGGTTACTGAAAGCAGGGAAGAGTTTTTACGAGGATAGTGGGGCTCAAGTTAGAGTATGTAGGAAAGAGGGAAATTATTTCCCAGTAAAAGTAGGCCTCAGACAAGGATGTGTGATGTCACCGTGGTTGTTTAATATATTTATAGATGGGGTTGTAAGAGAAGTAAATGCGAGGGTCTTGACAAGAGGCGTGGAGTTAAAAGATAAAGAATCACACATAAAGTGGGAGTTGTCACAGTTGCTCTTTGCTGATGACACTGTGCTCTTGGGAGATTCTGAAGAGAAGTTGCAGAGATTGGTGGATGAATTTTGTAGGGTATGCAAAAGAAGAAAATTAAAAGTGAATACAGGAAAGAGTAAGGTTATGATGATAACAAAAAGATTAGGTGATGAAAGATTGGATATCAGATTGGAGGAAGAGAGTATGGAGGAGGTGAATGTATTCAGATATTTGGGAGTGGACGTGTCAGCGATGGGTCTGTGAAAGATGAGGTAAATCATAGAATTGATGAGGGGAAAAGGGTGAGTGGTGCACTTAGGAGTCTGTGGAGACAAAGAACTTTGTCCTTGGAGGCAAAGAGGGGAATGTATGAGAGTATAGTTTTACCAACGCTCTTATATGGGTGTGAAGCATGGGTGATGAATGTTGCAGCGAGGAGAAGGCTGGAGGCAGTGGAGATGTCATGTCTGAGGGCAATGTGTGGTGTGAATAAAATGCAGAGAATTCGTAGTTTGGAAGTTAGGAGGAGTGCGGGATTACCAAAACTGTTGTCCAGAGGGCTGAGGAAGGGTTGTTGAGGTGGTTCGGACATGTAGAGAGAATGGAGCGAGACAGAATGACTTCAAGAGTGTATCAGTCTGTAGTGGAAGGAAGGCGGGGTAGGGGTCGGCCTAGAAAGGTTGGAGGGAGGGGTAAAGGAGGTTTTGTGTGCGCTGGGCTTGGACTTCCAGCAGGCATGCGTGAGCGTGTTTGATAGGAGTGAATGGGACAAATGGTTTTAATACTTGACGTGCTGTTGGAGTGTGAGCAAAGTAACATTATGAAGGGGTTCAGGGAAACCGGCAGGCCGGACTTGAGTCCTGGAGATGGGAAGTACAGTGCCTGCACTCTGAAGGAGGGGTGTTAATGTTGCAGTTTAAAAACTGTAGTGTAAAGCACCCTTCTGGCAAGACAGTGATGGAGTGAATGATGGTGAAAGTTTTTCTTTTTCGGGCCACCCTGCCTTGGTGGGAATCGGCCAGTGTGATAAAAAATAATAATAATAAATAATAATATATATATATATATATAATATATATATATATATATATATAATATATATATATATATATATATATAAGAAAGTCGAATATAATTTTGGTCTTTTGGCTTTAAATACTTGAAATTTTATCACAAAAAGAAAAATATAATGAATTCGAAATTAAACAAAAGGAAAACTAAAGGTGTCGAGCAAGAAGGTAGAGAAGCGCAGTGTAAACACTGACACTTAGTAAGTTTATTCAGGTACAAGTACACATAAATACAGCTACATAAATTATCATACATAGCAGTATGTGTAGATTATCTAGGATAACAACCAATGGAAAAAGTCAAAGTGACTTATTTCCATTGTGGTCCTTCTAGAACTGCTCTAGAAGTACAGTGTAGACACTGGCACTGTAGAAGTGCTCTAGAAGTACAGTGTAAACACTGGCACTGTAAAAGTGCTCTAGAAGTACAGTGTAAACACTGGCACTGTAGAAGTGCTCTAGAAGTACAGTGTAAACACTGGCACTGTAGAAGTGCTCTAGAAGTACAGTGTAAACACTGGCACTGTAGAAGTGCTCTAGAAGTACAGTGTAAACACTGGCACTGTAGAAGTGCTCTAGAAGTACAGTGTAGACACTGGCACTGTAGAAGTGCTCTAGAAGTACAGTGTAGACACTGGCACTGTAGAAGTGCTCTAGAAGTACAGCGTAAACACTGGCACTGTAGAAGTGCTCTAGAAGTACAGTGTAAACACTGGCACTGTAGAAGTGCTCTAGAAGCAGTGTAAACACTGGCACTGTAAAAGTGCTCTAGAAGCAGTGTAAACACTGGCACTGTAGAAGTGCTCTAGAAGCAGTGTAAACACTGGCACTGTAGAAGTGCTCTAGAAGTACAGTGTAAACACTGGCACTGTAGAAGTGCTCTAGAAGCAGTGTAAACACTGGCACTGTAAAAGTGCTCTAGAAGCAGTGTAAACACTGGCACTGTAGAAGTGCTCTAGAAGCAGTGTAAACACTGGCACTGTAGAAGTGCTCTAGAAGCAGTGTAAACACTGGCACTGTAGAAGTGCTCTAGAAGTACAGTGTAAACACTGGCACTGTAGAAGTGCTCTAGAAGCAGTGTAAACACTGGCACTGTAAAAGTGCTCTAGAAGCAGTGTAAACACTGGCACTGTAGAAGTGCTCTAGAAGCAGTGTAAACACTGGCACTGTAGAAGTGCTCTAGAAGCAGTGTAAACACTGGCACTGTAGAAGTGATCTAGAAGACTGTACAGGGTTTAATAACCCTGGAAGTTTAATCAATAAACCATGATAACACAAGAAAACCAAGCAGCGTGGTTTATTTCCTCTGTGCTCCTCCTCAAGACGCAACTAATTCTTAGGCATTAATTTCCTAGTAGGTGAAGAGAGTCTGAAAAGTTTAGGAGAACTGCCCTCTATGTCTAGCCCCGCCGGGGATTGAACCTGGGTCATTTCGGATGTGAGCCAAATGCTTTAACACAATCTAAATGTAATGTGTGCACTCCGTTTTCTGATCATAACTCTTGTCTTACTATGGCTGCTGAGACTTGCAATCCGCTGGCACAAACAGCGTGGTTGATCAGTCAACAATTACGTCTGACACAAACCTGTGCGTGTCAAAGCACTTAATCTTAAAGCAAACCTGGAGTACAAGATAATATGTACATACATTCAAATTTTCAGGTAGCGAGATTTATAAGTGTGCACATGCAACGTTACTGTGCACATGTAACATGTTACTAAACACATGTGTCATGTGTTTAGTAACATGTTACATGTTACTAAACACATATGCAGATTCCTGAATTTTTCACTTTCCATTCCCTATTATAAGCTCCTGATGAAGGAATATCAATAGTCCGAAAGGCCTCGAGCTTCATTTTCATACCTTCCGTGGCCGTTGTGCAGAGTTATTATCGCCTGTGGTGCAGATAGCAAGGTTGTGATGGATATATGGGCCAGCAACAACAACCTGGTGGACCAGGCAAGCACCAGATAAGCCTGGCCCAGGTCAGGGCTGCGGTAGCAGGGAAAACTCTCGAAACTCATAAATGTATCAAAAGCAATGGTAGGTATGTACAGCATGCATGTGTGTGTATAATACACACACACACACACACACACACACATACACTACCAGTCAAGAATACTTCACTCGCCCATATATTGTGATTATAGTCAACTTTAAGTGCACGTATACTGAGATGTCTTAAACACTGATCAATAACCAGGTCAGTCCCACAAGAGTGGAAAATCACGCACCAGATATTCCTGCCTCACCTGAGGCCTGGTCATAGACCGGGCCGCAGGGGCGTTGACCCCCGGAACTCTCTCCAAGTAAACTCCAGGTATGTGATGTAGACCGCGATATATACCCAATCCTCAGGCGCTGTATGACTTATACGACTTAAGCGCATCACCATTAATATAATGATGGCATCCCATTCCGCGGTGCTGTATTAAACCATTATTAATAACAATTACCAATTATGATACAATACTGAAAACACAAGATAATTGTGTTGTCATACTGAGGAACATTTGAAATGTTGCAGCGCCATAATACAAGGTAATAGTGTTGTCATACTGAGAAATATCTGGTGTTGCAGCACCATAATACAAGTCGTCACTGATATCAGCTGTAATGTCTCCACGTTACATCTATGTCATACTGTATTGCATAATCGTTTACATGAAGCTTGTTAACCTGCCACCAGTTTACCTGTAAACAGCTTGTATATACCTTCCGCCAGTCTACCCGTAACCAGCTACCAATATTAATTACATACGTACCGGTCAATATTACTAGGCGAGATAACAAAAGCTTGAGCTTAATTATAAGCACACCTATGACAGCTGCTGTAATATGCATGAGGCAATTAAGCTGAGGTGGACGAGCAA